TGTGAGAGGGATATCATTTCAAAAATTTCATTATACAAACTGAGTTTAATTTTTAAGATAAAATCCTAAGCTGACAGCATCATGATCGTATAAAATATCTCTGATAGGTTTCGTAAGGGTAATTAACGAAGTACAGCTAGTAGAAAAATTCAGGTTTGTCAATGCAGTCTGAGTTGATTTCATGGAACATCACAAGAGTATAGCAGTTATTTTAACCATTTCGAGGATGCGTTCATGGAGAAAAATGGCATTTTGATGGCCTGACAGCATCTAGACAATCGTTGAAATACAGAAATTGGTTCAAAATATTTTGAAAGCAAGAAATGAGCATGGAAAATCACTTGTAGGTCAGCTTGTCAACATGTAGGACTTATAAACATTTATCAGTAGTGTGTATTTAACTAAAAACCAATTCTTCTAGACGTCTTTATAATGCAATATGAAGATGGAATCAAAAAAGAAAAATGAGTGACAATTGCTAAAAGAAAAGCATATTTGAATTATCTTTTTCTTACCAGTTATGTATTGCACCGAATCTGTGCTAATATAAAATCTCTATTCTGAAGGAGGTTGTGTTTGGGTGACCGTTTTATCTTCATGCCAAAAAGTGTGGTCGAGAATCCTAGAGAAGTTTAGTGTCTGAGGATCATGACGATGTACAACGCAAGTAGTTTTTATCAGACAATAATGACAAGCTGAACAGCAAACAGCGCTTGCAGTGGAAACTGATAAGTTTATGACAAAAATTCTATTTATTTGAGTCATGACGTATTTAGTGAGGATTAACTACTTGCATTCAAAATTAATATTTATACGTAGTTAGTAACCGTTGATTTCTGGATTCCATCTAACTCATTATACAGTTTTTGAGCTCCCTTTCTTTTTTTTCTTTTTTTTAGTCTTCCTTTTTCCTTCCTTTTTAATGAGAGTGAATGTACAAAAATTGATGAGAAAGTAATGCATGAAATAGAAAAGATGATCGAAAGTGAGCATTTCAGTTCCATGGGTGAATTAATAATTAGTCGGATTCAAATAAAAAATACTATTGGTTTGCAAATTAAATTTTAAAAGAAGGCTGTAGACATGCATACTCTGATTATTCAAAGTTCGAACATTGAGAAATAGTTACTTTCTTATGCCCAATAAAGCTACAGGGAGAGATTATTACCACCAAAAAGAGCAGAGTTTCTGTCACGTATTGTTTTCTCCGGTATAGCATTACTGAAATA